TAGTGCCGCCTAGATACTACCTAGATAGGTGATTGTGCTTGCCTTACTACTATAATCCTAATCTATAGGATAGGATTTAATTAGAGCTTTTCTTAACTCTTTAAATTTTAGATTCCTATTAATCTTTTTCTTAATCTCTAATTATTAAGTAGTAGTAAGCTTATTACCTATATTAGTCTAAGCTTTAATAATATTTTTATATTTAGGAGGTTTCTATAGGTAGGATCTACTATATAGGCATAAAGACTCCTTCTTAGGTTAATTAGAAGGTGGAGCTCCTATTATTGCAAATACTCTAGGACCCTTAGAGCTTAATCTTATGTTATTCTCTTAGAGCAGTAATAAATAGATCTTAGCAACCTATAGAAGGTTATAAGTTAGCTCTCCTATTACTAACTTTTTAATAATCCTTTAAAATATAGTTTAACCCTAATCTAGTAAGATCCTAGTAGATAGAGCTTTAAGATAATCCTATACTATAAGCTATCCTTTAATATTAGGAACGTTGTATACCTTAGCTTACGTATATAGGATTATCTACTTCTTTTGCTAGTAATTAGTATCTTAACTACTTATCTTTGCCTTAGCAAGGTAAGCTTTATACTACAATCTTGCTAGTGTTACAGCGCTTAAGTTAGTTAGCGCTAGGTTATTATAGAGCACTTAGATTAGTGCTTAGAGGGTTACTCTTCCTTAATTAATAAGCTCTATATAGGCTAGGGTAAGGATCCCTTAATCTACTATATTATTAACCTATATAAAGAGGTTCTAGATTACTAATAACTTTAATACCTAATCTAATAAGCAAGCTTAGTACTATACTATTTAGAGTTTGTACTGCTTGCTTGTTATATTAGATAGCGCGATATCTATTAGCATACTAGGCTTAATTAGTTTATTCTTAAAGTAGTTTTTAGCATCCTAAGTATTAGGGTCTACCTCTACCTAGATCCCTTTAGTTAGGGCATGGTATCTAAATTAAATGTACTAGGTAGGCTAGTTAGTTAATCTAGTAAGTAGGATATCCCCCTTTAGGATTTAGTTGCTTATAGTAGAAGAGTAATAAGTAAGCTTTTTGCTCTAGAAATAGTATAAAGAGTAAAGCTTGCTAGCTTAGTGTCTAAGTTAAATAATACGCTTAAATAGATAGGACAATCTTTAATAAGGTAAAGCGCAAACTAGGCTTATAACTATAGAAATTTAGATTACTAAGGTTAGGAATAATTTAGGAGATAGATTATTAGATTATATCTACTATAATCAGACTTATATATATAGAGCTTTAGCTACCCTTACTAGAAGGTAAATAATTAGTAAACCTTCCTTACTAGAGCTCCTGCTTTTTATTAGGCACTTAGTAGTAAGCTAGCAGTTAATTAGATAGTGGGTTATACAGGGGTATTAACTAGGATTAATTAGGATTAATTAGGATCAAGATGCTCCGTAATCTAGTTAATATCCCTCCTGCAACAATTAAGATATAAAAAAAATTTAAGATATAAAAAATAATTAAGATATATAAAAAAATTATAAAAAAAAATTAAGATATAAAAAAAAGATTTTGCCCTAAGAATCTACTCTAAATAGTGGTCTGTGCGTTAGGGGTAAGATATAGGTAATAGGGGTAGTAGATAGTAGGTAGTAGGTAGTATAGATAGGTTCAATACCGCCATCCTCGACTGATCT